GCAAACATCTGTATTTAAAGCAAAATGCAGCATTTGCTGAATTCTAGCCTTTTCTTCTGCCTCCTTCTGCCAAAACTGATAACCAGCTTTACATATGTAAAGTTATATTTTTAGTTGCTTGGAAATCCTGGACAGTGCTTTTATAAATTCATATTGGAAAATGTTACGATTTTAAAATGCCAGATGATGGTTAATACTACTATAAAAGTCAAAAGTGAGAATGAAATGGAAGATATTCTAAATGAAGCAACTTTGTGACTTAGTCTTTGTAATTTTCACTAATATGATGCAAATGTATTTCTAACTCTAAAAAAATAATTCCTTCATACAGTAACAATTAAATTTGATTTAGAGTGCCACTAAAAATTAACCAAGAGCTTCTAGCAGTTGTTTAGAAGAGAGTAAATCATAGAAAAACTCTAGTTGCTGGGCTGTTTTCAATCAAATGGAAATCTTCTTAAGATTAGTGTTATATAGCATTTACTTCCTTTTGCATCTAAGTTGAATTCAGTGTTGACAAATGGTCTGTAACAGGAAGCATTTTGTGTCTGTTTATTTGTGTGCAAAGCTGTCTACACTGAAATGCAAATCAGAGCTGCCCTTTTCCTCTCTCGTTAACATATCAGCTTTGACATTCAACAAAGAACTATGTTTCAGAAACTAATAACTAGTTGAATAATAGCTCTATTTTCTTTATTTCCTTTAACTCAATTTATAGCAAATGTATGAAGTAAGCACAGTCCACATTTACTTGGCATAAGGTTGTGCTAAAATGAATGTCAAATAAACTTATTTTCTACCAAGACTCTCCTCCTCCACACCACCCATTCATCATTCAGTTCAGAAAAAAAAAATATTACCAACGGAACAGTGATTTCCAAATTATGTTTTATGGTACTCTCATCCCTTGAGATGGTAATAGGTAGGACCTTAAAAAATTCTACACTTGAATATGTCAGGTAGCTGCACACTTGTATTAGTCAGCTTGGGCTGCCATAACAAAATACCATAGAGTTCTCTTCCTGGCTTTCAGATGGTTGCCTTCTTTCTGTGTCTTCATATGGCAGAGGGAAGGGGGGGGGGGGGGGGACACTCAAACCGAACTTACTTTGGAGGGAGTTGTCTACTTTGCCCGCTGGAGACTCATGCATCCTTGCCACACTAAATGGAGGGAGTTGGTAGTACGACGGTAACAAGTCATTTCTAAATGGGGTGATTGGCACCCCCCTTGGTGTGTGTCTTTAAAAGTAGGAGGGAGTGCAGCTGCTACAATGCAGTACCCCTCTCTATCCTCCATTTCTCTTCTTCCCTCCTCAAATGGGCACAAATCAGTAGGTGGCCAGCCAAGGGATGAATAATCTGAAGTTTTGAGGGTACCAACGTGAAATATTTCTTTGTTGTTTTGTTTTCCAATTACTGCTTTCTAACACACTCCGTCAAATATTTTCCTTCACCCAGAATAACATCTTGGGCAAACCTCAAAGCTTTCCAGGTCCTTCTCTTCCTATAGGGATTCTCATTTCCTCTGAATGGTGGGGTTTTTTGTTTGTTTTGGTTTTTTTTTTTTTTTTTTTTGAGTGGGAAGGGAAGGAAAGACCCAGCACCCAGCACTCTGCCAACTAATAACCATATTTCTCTTAGAATCGTCTCTTCCCATGGTGGTCCTGATATAGACAGGAGGGTGTGCTTGGCACAGTGTAGACACTCAATAAATGAGAAACAAGTTAAACTACTGGTTGATATTTGAAGAACCTCCCAACAGCTTGAAAGACTCCATTTTAATTTTTTTTACTTTTATCAAATTTCTTATCTCAGTTTTGCATTATAACCACTAAACAGAAAGAAAATTCTTAGAAGATAACCTTATCTAGACTTATTTCCTTTTGCACTTAACATTAATTTAGCATTTACAGATCCTTAAAGGGAAACATTTTCCCACTGTTTAGCAACAAGCTATATTCAGTGATACACAAATCAAATTTCTAAGTGGTCAAGAATACAAAATAAAATTAAGTACTATTGAGTGCCTATTACGAATTTGGCAAGGGCTAAGTACTTGAAAGAAGCAGAAGTGATTTCAAGTTGGTATAAGCTCTTAAGGAACTTACACTGCAGTTGGAGGCTAGCATATAAACACTATGATTGGTCAAGATCTTAGAAAGTGAGATAGGGGAGGTGAGAGGCATTCCAGGTAGGGAGAGGCATTCCAGTACAGAGGTTTGGAGTATGGGCTCTGAAGCAACACTGCCTGGGTTTTCATCCTGACTGCTCTTTATCGCTGATCTTTGGCAAGTTACATAACCAGTCTGTGCCTCTCATACTTAAAAAGCAGATTAAATTAGTTAATGCAGCACCTCACCTATAAGTAAGTGCTTATTATAATGATGACCGTAATGATGTACAAAAACTTGGAGCTGGGTCTTTGAGGTACTCAAAAAAATTGACCCGAGCAATTCCTATACTGTATTAGAATAGTGGGAGAAAGATCAGAAAGGGTTAGGGACAGATGAAGGAGGTCACTGATTGCAAACATTTGGACTTTATTTGGTAGCAGAAACCTGCTGAACTTTTAAAACTGGTGAGTAGCCCTATAAAAACAATGTTTTGGGAAACTCTAAACTGGCTATGTAGGATGGTTTGGGATAGGGACAAGACTGAGAATGTAGTGATAATAACAATAGCCAACTTTTATTAGATGTGTTCCGTGACCTTTGTAAGTATGCAAAAAAATTAGTTATAAATATTATTATTATGTTCTGGACAATGTGCTGAGCACTTTATATGGGATATCTGTTATGGACTGAATTGTGTCATTCCCGCCCCCCATTCATATATTGAAGCCCTAACCTCCAGTATGACACTATTTGGAGATAGGGCCTTTAAAGAGGTAATTAAGGTTACAGGAGGACACAATAAAGGCTAAATGAGGTTAAAAAGGTGGGGTCCTAATCCAGTATGATTGGTGTCCTTATAAGAAGAGAAAGAGATACCAGGCTGTGGGTGCATAGAGAAAAGGCTTTGTGAGAACAAAGGAAAAGGTGGCTGTCTGCAAGCCAAGGCCTCAGGAGAAACCCACCTTGCTAGCTCACTGACCCTGGACCACCAGCCTCAAGTGAGAAAATAAATTTCTGTTGTTTAAGCCACCCAATCCGTGGTATTTTGTTATGGCAAACCTGGCGGACTAAGACAATAGCTAATTTGACTCTTAAAACAGCTCTATGAGGAAATACTCTGATGATCATTGTGTTACCCATGAAGAAAGAGAGGTTCAGAGAGCTTAAAATGAATTGCCTACGACAGCTAATAAGTGGCAGTAAACAGGATTTATATTTAAGCTAACTACAAATATTATAGTTCAGTTGGAAATTGATAAATGAAAGATTTGTACATACAAAAGGAAAAAACATGACTTGGTTCTCATTAGATTCAGGCTAAAAAAAAGGGTTATCACTAGATGATTGAGATTTTAGGCCTTGGGGTTCACACAAGATAAATGACTGGCTTGTTTGTGTGTGATGTGTCTGGGGTGTGTGTGTGTATAGTTTATATTAAATACTGTGAAAAGGTTCAGAGCAGAATGGAATTGTGGCTGAAGCACTCATGGAACCTAATAATAGCTAACTTGGGTAAAGTACAGGATACATGTGGGTAAACGAGTAATGAGGGGAAATTTAAATATGAATTATTAGGTCAGAAAGTGTTTCATCTATTTTGTTATTGCCTATAACTATGCCTGTCTTTTCTAAGACACTAAATAACATTTGGTGAATATAGGAAAGAACAAAGAAATGTTGAGATTTAATACCTGGAAGAAAGGAGCTATTTAAATTCTTTTTTCCCCCAACTAGAGCAATAACAGATTTAGACTGAATTTTCCTCGTCTCTTAACTGGGCTTTCGCTCTCTCTCTCTTTTTAAATTTTATTTTTAGGAAGGCCAGCTCCAATTCGAATGAAGGAGATAAAAACATGGATACTGAAACACATGATTCGGTATCTCCGATTGCTGTCTGTGTATGTTTTAGGGAACAATAAAATAGCTGCAGGATTATTAATTCCACAAATGCTGAATACAGAGAGTAATCATTTAGCTATTCCAGATAAAAGGAATAAGCCCTGAATACAATCATCGGTCATCGGCCCTTGGTCTTACTATGGTCCTTATTGCTTTAGGGGGCTGGCTCTTCAATGCACGTTGGGAGTGCCCAGAAGAGGCTCAGCTGCCTTCAGAGGATGAGGCGACCATCACTCTCATGGATTAGTGCTAGGAAGCCGCTACTAGGCCTCCGCCAAGAACATCAACTCATCCGCAATGCGCCTGCCCAGACCGCAGCAGCCTAGCTCTGCACACACCCCACAACAGCCAAAAACAACTGTAAGAGAAAATTCGAATCTGCTGCAGAAATCTAATCCACCGTACTCCGAAGGATTTACTCAACACAGCTGCCTCGCCAGACTACAAATCCCAGCATTCAGGCCTCCCATGGAGCCAATGAGGAAGCTACAAGTTCCTTCAGCCAATCATATCTTGACCCAGTGTAACGTGCGGACTGAATTCTGGGATTTGTGGTTTTCACGTGGCAACTTGCACCATCGTGGTTAAGGCAATGCAGGCCACGCGTCCAATTCAGAACGAAAGCTCCTTCTAATAACTCTTCTGTTCGCCCCGAGTCTAACCTGTTAATTAGCTTTACTCCTAGGCCTTATGCGCCTTAAAAATCGTAATCTTTTTCTCTTACTGTCGAACAGGAAAAACAAGTCATTTTCGGATGAAGGTATCCTCCTCCCACTGGCCCCCAATCCTTTAACCGCCGCTTTCAAGTCTCGCGAGAACAGCCCCTTTTGGCCGTTGTCATGCCTCCTGAAGGGCGGGTCACGCGAAGATTGACACAGGCTTCAGCCAACAGGATTGTCCTTTACCTAGCGTCTCAGCAGCGTGCGTGGGGAGACTTCCTTGAACCCTGACCTCAGCTTTCCGTAGCGTCCCGCGTCTGCCGCGCCCTCCCCCGGAGCGAAGGAGGCGGGTTTTGGCCTCTTGCCTTAGGGAGCGAGTGCGGAGGGAGTGGGAGTGGGACTGCCCCGAGTGGAAGTGGCTGCCTCTCCGGAGAGAGCCTGCTGTACTCCTCGCTGCTCATGAACTCGTTTTCCGGCGAGCAGCGCCGTCGTTAGGCCGGCCCCGTAGCCTCTGCTTCCCCCGGGACAGGCCCACGCCTCGCCGGGGAGGGGGCAGCCCGTCCAGGCGCCTCCCTTGTCAGCGTCTGCGTCGCGCTGCGACCCTGGAAGCGGGAGCCGCGGCGAGCGAGAGGAGGAGCCCCAGCGGCGGCGGCGGCGGCGGGCAGCAGCACGAGCAGCGCCGGCGGGCGGGATCGAGGCCGGCAACATGGCGAGCGCCTCGTACCACATTTCCAATTTGCTGGAAAAAATGACATCCAGCGACAAGGACTTCAGGTGAGGCCGAAATCCGACCCTCAGCTCCCCTCGGGGTCCCCCATCCGCGGCCCTGGCCCTCACACAGGCCTTGCCCCACCCCTTTGGCCTTAACTGGTTGCTCGGCTTTGCGGAGGTCTCCAGGCCACCCTCCGCTCCCCGATCCCGGCAGGTCCCTTTCCTCGCCCACCTTCTAACCCCCTTCCCCCGTTCTTTCCTCTAGGCCGTTGCCCGTCTCTGGTCCTAGGCCTCTTCTGCGTCCCCCACCGCATGCTCTGCCCTCCCAGGACGTGACTTTCGCGTCCCAGGTAGCGTGAAGGAGCGAGATCACGCACCATTGTGAGCAAGGGAGTCGCTCTACGCTTGGAGACCCGGAGGCCAGGCCTACCCGCCGGCCTGCCCGAGGCGCTAGGCCGCCCTGCTCCCGGGGCCAGAGCTGCTGCTGCTGCCCACTCGGGGTCCCAGCTGCCGCCTCCTTTCTCGCAGATGTGAGCGGGCCTAGGTGCATTCAGCTCGAACGATTTGCTTTCTTTTCCAGCCCTTCGGGGATTGGGCTATAAACTTTCTTTGGATTATCCCTTTCGTCAAGGTGGGAAGAAGGTGGAGGGGGAGCCAGGAGGGTGGAAACTTGACTCGTAGGGTTTTCCCGCCAGCATTTCTTGTCATTTTCCCTCGTCAGGCAAAAACCCAAGCAGGATCTCGGGGTTTCAGTCTCATTTCTTTATATCCAAAATTACTGCCAGAAAGGTGAATTACTGAACCTGAAACAAAAAGGTGCAACAAGCAAATGGGTCTTATTGAAAGGCGTTTTCTAATATGGGGATGGTGAATGTGAAGGTTTGTTATAAAGTTCTGTTCCAGGAGACTTGTACGGTTGGTTCCAAACCTTGGTCACATGCATATTGAAGAATTGTTATATTTTCACGGGTAATCTTGGTTTCTCTCCCTCTTTTTTTTTTTGCACTACAGTAATTGTTACATTCTTTCCTTCCCGCCTTCTATCCCATCACAAAATCAATCAACTCCCGATCTAATTAGCTTTTTATAGCTTGGATACTTGTTTTGTTCTCTAGTGGTTTTATTTTCTGTGCATTTTAAAGGGAAGAAAAAATAGTCTTCAATTTAAATTGTGGCTGACGGGCTTATTTGGTTTTTTTGTATGAACGGTACGTTTTAACATCTGAAAACACGCCCAAACCTTATGTACTGGGGAAATATTTTTTGATTTGTGAAAGGAGAACCAAGAAAAATGTAATAATCTGTTCCTAATTAAATTAATATGCTGGCATATTAAAATAGCCAATGAAATACATTTTGGTTCTGTGACTTCATAGCCAGAAATGATTCTCAAAAAGTTTTGCAATCTAGGGAGTTTTTAAGTATTGTATTCAAAAGTTTTAAAATTAGTTTGCTAATAATAAAGGTTCGAGTGTTCGTTTTTGGAAGAGACGTGTTTATTTTGGGCATTAATATTTTTAGATTTGTGAGTTCTAGGGTCAAAATCAAGATTAAAATAAATAAAAGGTTTTGTTTGTTTTTTAAAGGATTAGAATGCTGTTTACTTCCCTTTGGAGCTTTGCTTGCTCCCAATGCAAGCCATTAAAATTTAAATAAACATTTGAATGGAACATACATAAAAAACTTTAAGTAGGTAGAATGTGTGGTGTGATTTTTACCCCCTGCCATTTCTGTCAGTTTGGCTCATTCTGTAAAAGTACTGACTTTCATTCTGATTGTGTTCAGTTTTAGTCTAAAGATAGGACTTTCCCTATAATAGTACAGTTTTGTTCCACTAGTCAGACTTGTGCGTGGATAATATGTTTAGAATAAAGAAGTCAAGTCATGTGATAATACTGCATATGTGATTATTGACTGAAGCTTTCTTTCTTACATTTCCTCTAAAGGAAAGGTAATACGTACGTGCTTGAGGAGTTTTTTGTTTTTTCTAATTATATGGAAGAGTAATGCTCTGATGTTAAGGTATACTAGTGTTGAACTTGATAAGGATTTTCTACCAATTTGGGCTTGAATAAGTTAAAACATTGCTTGGAGGATTACTCCTAAAAATGTGATACTGATAATATTTTTAATAGTTGGTGAATATTATAGAAGATATGCCTAAGAACAGTAAGTGACTTCCAGTAATTTGTCATTAAGATATTTTTAACAACTAAGTTTTTAAGACTTAATACGCTCAGACCATTCAGTAATAGACAAGTCTTGGGAACCAAAGCACTATATATATTAAATTACTGACACTTAAGAGATTAATTAAAATAACGTTTGCGGTCAAGTGTTTTGAAGATTTTTCCGTATTTGAATACATGTGTTCTATTTTTAAATGATGCTTTCGAATTTCTCGTTAGAAATTTATTGTTTATTTTGCTGTAAATATCATAGTTATTGTTACATGTTTTAAAATACCTAGTGCTAGAAGGATCTTGAGGACAAGATTAACGTTATAGAAAATCTAACATGTGCAGACCACTCTACCTTGTGCTAAGGGGAGAAGAAGATATTACATCCAAAAGGAAGAAAAAACCATTTTTCTCATGGTGGAATCCAAAGGGAATATGACCTACCAGTTACAAATATGGGTTCTAGTCCTGTAGGATTCTTTGCTGTGTACTATCTGATATCTTGGACAGGCTACTTAGTTTGGGATTAAATTCACTTTTGAGAGACTTGTACATGGGTAATTACAAAAGGTCCCTTATAGGCCCAAATTTTCAGGTCTCTGAATAACTAAATAGATTTTTAATGTAAAGAAGGTAAAGAAATGGATGCAGACTTCAAAATTTTGGAATGTCAACGTTTTTAAAGATTTTTTTTTTTTTTTGGTAGGACTTAAATTATAGGCGCAATTTATTGGGGGGAAAAAACCTAGTGTCCTTTTTTCTTTCATGTTTTAGTGTTCTTCGAAGGTAGGATACTATGGTTTAGTGGCAGTAAGTAGTGATTCTGTAGATAACAGAATGAAAACTTTAATGTGTATAAACAAAGTGAATGCTGCACCTATAAATATTAATACTGAATATTCAGTGGGTTGAGGTAACTAATAAGGTTCTGCTTTTATTTCATATGCTTCATCACCAGCTTTTATTTTCATATGCTTCATCACCAGCTGAGTTCCAGTATTCCAAGGAATCAAGAGCTAAAAAAATTTTTTTACTGTTCTTTTATTTCTCTGTACATAATTGTTAATGCTTACTGTGGACTTTATACACTTGATCCTTACAACTTTAGTAAAGTGGATACTAGCAATCTCTGTTTCAGCTGAGGAAACTTCAATCTGGTGATGCTGAGTGCTTGCCCAAGGCCAGTTAAACAGTAGTAGATCAGGGATTTCCAGATACCCCCAGAGCATGAACTTTAAACTACCATATTCTACTTCTGCAAGCTTTTGACTAGGGTACATTAAGAGTAAGACCTTAAATTTCAGTTCCCTCTAAGTTAGGCTTAGGGAGTATTTTGTGCTAGAAGATTAAATAATTCCCTGAGAGGGACGACAAAAAGTTGAAGATAGTGCTTGCCTTCAGTATTCTCTGCATGCTTGTTGAGTGGTTAAGGCATTTGTAAAAACATAAATAACCCAGGGCAGTATGTAGTGTTCAGGCTTAAGTGGCAGAGAAGATGAAAGCAGGGAGATTCATTCATGTTCAAGGAGTGATCTGAGCTAGGTCTTGAAGTTCTAGGTAGGTGTGAAAGCACACAATACAAACAGCACTCTTGGGGTGGGGATAGGAACGGTAGGGACCTTGTCTTACTGAACTGGATCCTCCACTTTATTCAGTGCCTTGGCCATGTGGGTTCTCAATAGATAACTTGTTTTAAATTCCAGAGTTAAAAAAGCATGTAAGGATTGGGGAAGTTTAAGAAGTCATTGTAAAATCTACCAATCTATTATTTTTAAATACCATTTGATACAATCTTAAAATAATTCACTGCATTGTAGAATTTCCTAGCTTGATTATGGTTTATGTCACCAAATATATTTATGTGTTTTGACTATTGGAAGGCATTTGCCCTTGGAAACTGTTTAAAATGCTAATAAAAATCTCGGGCCTGTTACAGAATCATCAGTTTTCAGAGTTGGAAGGGAGCTTAGAGATCCCATAACATAGCTGAAAGTACTGTATGGGCATTTACAATAATGTAACAGGAAAGACTACATTATCTGGACTGCTTGTGCTTGAAGAAAAGTAAGTTTAATCCGAAGAAAAAGATTTGCAGAGATTAAGAAGGTGATTTCTGAGCATTTTCTAAGTTCTTTGTACATTGATGGCATTAAGTTACACGATTTCACTTGTGATTTGGTGGGGAGGGATACAGGTATAGTACTGCTAATGCTCATTATCAGCAATGATTAGGGCTCACTACTGAAAAAGAGGAGAAAGGGACCTCATTGAGGAAACTGAAGAAGAAAGATGACTAAAAATTAGTTTTATTTACGTGAACGATATTAAGACTGTCCCAAGTTAATTCATAACTCTAAGAGAATAAATGAGACAGCAGTGTGGTGTGTACAAGATATATGAAAGATAATTGGTTCACTGGGTGATGCAGTTGGCCCATAGCATTTAGCTTTCTGTTGGAAACAAGGGTAAAATTGTGTTTATATATTAAGGGAACGGTTTTGGAAACCACTCTGTGCAGTACAAAGGATCTATTTCTACCATTATTATTTTTTTTAACATCTTGATTGGAGTATAACTGCTTTACGATGGTGTGTTAGTTTCTGCTTTACAACAAAATGAATCAGTTATATATATACATATGTTACCATATCTATTCCCTCTTGCTTCTCCCTCCCTCCCACCCTCCCTATCCCACCCCTCCAGGTGGTCACAAAGCACCCAGCTGAGCTCCCTGTGCTATGCGGCTGCTTCCCACTAGCTATCTACCTTACGTTTGGTAGTGTATATATGTCCATGCCTCTCCCTCGCTTTGTCACAGCTTACCCTTCCCCCTCCCCAAATCCTCAACTCCATTCTTTAGTAGGTCTGTGTCTTTATTCCTGT